GGCGGAGGAAGACAGTCACTGGGAGCCTGATGAGATGGCGGTGGTGGAGCCGTCACACTACCGCATCAATACGTGGGACAGGACCGTGTTAGGTCGGTGGTTGGTGTGGTTGTTGTGGTTGTTGTTGTTGTTGTTGTTGTTGTTGTTGTCACACTACCGCATCAATACGTGGGACAGGACTGTGTTAGGTCGGTGGTTGTTGTGGTTGTTGTTGTTGTTGCTGTTGTTGTTGTTGCTGTTGGTGTTGTTGTTGTTCTTGTTATTATTGCTGTTGGTGTTGTTGTTGTTGTTGTTGCTGTTGTTGTTGTTGTTATTGTTGTTGCTGCTGTTGTCGTTGTTGTTGTTGTTGTTGTTGTCGCACTATCGCCTCAATACCTGGTTGTTGTGGTTGTTGTTCTTGTGTTTTTTGTTGTTGTTGTTGTTCTTCTTCTTCTTCTTCTCCTGATGTGGTTGATGTGGTAATGTTTGGTGTTTGGGGTGGTAGGGGTCACCCAGGTAATGACAGGCATTACTTAATGTCCTCCTTGCACACACATACAGGTGGGCCGCTCGAAAATTTTGGTCTCTTAAAAGTGACAAAAGTGATTATTATATTTCGATCTCTTTTTTTTTTTCATAAAATATTCCTTCCACTTTATATAAAAGTAGTCTTAATGCGTCAGGCAATGATCTGTAAATTTGGACTTCCTGTGTACATGTTCACAGGGGTCAGGGAAGTTCAGGGGTCTTTTTTTTTGTAGTCAGAGTTGTTACTTCTGGTTTGTATTTTCAAAAAGTTTTCCGTCTTCCCTCAGGCAAAGACTACCAGGAACTGCGGGTCCAGAAGAGGGAACGTCGACAGCCGGGGACTATACCTGACCTACCCTACCTGCACTGGGAGAGGACCGGGGCGCCACCTGCTGGACCTTATTCTGTATGTCTGTTTGTGTGTGTATACGTGTGTGTGTTTTTGTGTGTGGGTGTGTGCTATGTAGATAGCCGGGGACTGTACCTGACCTACCTTACCTGCACTGGGAGCGTACTGGGGTGCCACCTGCTGGACCTTATTCTGTATGTCTGTTTGTGTGTTTGTGTGTGTTTGTTTGTGTGCGGTCTACCCCACACAGTAAGCTACCATAGAGTTCCTAAGTTCTATCTGCTCAGTTCCTAGTTTTGAGAAATTTGACTCGTAAAATTTTGAGTTTCTCAACCTGTCAAGCTTTTCCGAATGCATTTCTCTGAATATCTTGATAACGACTCCAAATAATCTTACATTTTTGCTAGAGCAGATAGGACATTTGGTTTCTGACTTTCTGGTCTGAGTGACTCAAAACGGCCAAAACTGTCACATAGAACGTTGTAAATCTGGGGTAGCGAGATGTAAAGGTGTGTCTTACTGCTTCATTAAAACTGTTTGATTAGTTTAGTATGGGGTTTTACGGCGCTCGCAACTGCATAAAGTCATATGAGCGCGCGATTAAAACTGTTTGATTAGTTTACGTATATTTAGCAATAAAGAACAACAAATGCAAAAGAATGTACAAATAATGATAATGATAATAATAATTATAATAATAATAATAGATAACATTTATAGAGTGCTTTATCCCATCTGGTAGCATGTTGTCAGCTGATGTCATGATTAATTGAGTAATGGACTACCTCTTTATCTCCGGAAAGCTGCTTCCAGCGGCTTGCGATCGGAACTCTCTGTGCAGGGGAGTCGCTGACACCGGCTCGGGCACATTCCTTTTCAACGACTTCGACATAAAATAATTACCTTATGGCAATTGTCGAAAACAGGTCTCTTATACCGGAGATTCATTCATTAGATGAAGAATTATCAAAATAGGTTTGCTAGTTTCAATTTAATGACCCATTTAATGATGTTATTTTTAGATTTAGCACTAAAAAGGGCCCCGGCGTAGTTGATTTACCCCCCCTCGGAGATAAAGAGTTAAATCAGTTTATGTTCGTATTTTTAGCAATAAAGAACAACAAATACAAAGGAATTTACAAACAATGAAAATAATAATAATAATAGATTGCATTTATAGAGCTCTTTATCCCATATGGTAGCTTGTTGTCAGCTGATGTCATGATTAACTGAGTAATGGACTACGCATCTTAAGTGAAAATGAGAAGATTTATCGTTTTTGCCTTGTGCACACCAAGGTCAGGTTGCTGTGATCGAGTCACATGACCTGTAATGTGTTGTAGCATGTATGTGATACTATTGATAATTCATGCCTGCTTGTAGCACCAAGGAGAATAGGCATATACTTATTACCAATTTTTTGTTTGCATAAATTTGTTTTTCGTGAGTGATATTGCCATCAGCATGACGTAGATTTCTGTATCAATGTGACCCTGCAATATTTCAGGCTCTGGACACCAAAGAGTTGAAGGATGTCCAGGCATTGGTCAAGCCGGACGCTGAGAAATATTTCAACGAGCGTCCAGGAAGTTCTGAGTTCTCGTCGTCGAAATTGCCTGCTCTGGCAGAGAGTAAGTCTTGGATTTTTCACGCCTTCGGTTTATTTTGTTTGTTTGTTTGTTTTTGTTTGTCTATTCGCGTGTGCCTGGTCCCAGTTTTCGGAAATTTTGCATATTGAAATAGAGGCATATTTTTTAATAGCAAATCTAATGCTGAACACACTGGTTTGTTTTATTTTTCTAATATCTTGAGTAGTTTTAAAGATATGCCATATTTTTGTAAACTTCTATCTCTCTCTCTCCTATATGTATTCTCTCAGCTCTGATGACGGCCTTTGATGAGAAGTCTCTGTTCCCTGGGTACATCCTGGACTTTGAGCGAAAGATGAAAAACTATCACTCGATGATGCTTAATCAGAACCAGGTAACTTTGTGTGTGTGTGTATGTGTGTATGTTTATGTATGTGTGTGTGTGTTTTATGTGTCTGTGTGTGCATGTGTGTATTTGTGTATGTGTGTGTATGTGTGTGGTTTTTTGTGTCTGTGTGTCTCTGTGTGCGTGTGTGTGTGAGTGTGTGTGCGTGTGTGTGTGTGTGTGTATGTTCCTGGGCTACATTTTGGACTTTGAGCCTCAGATGAAAAACTATCACTTTTTGTGATATTTTATCTGAACCATGCAACATTGATAATACAGTTAACTCTCACAAACCTATCACTATTTTTTCTGTTAGGGATTGAATCTGAAATCTGTCAGAATATTATCACGAGCATTTTGCTACCATCTTCCAAGTCAATTTCTTTGGTTTTTATTGAAATAGAGAATGAAGAGACATCTTACAGAAAAAAAGAAATTATCAGTGTGTGACTACAACTACAACCCTGTTTTATTATAAAATGAATTGTGTCTAAAGAGGTGTTAAACTTTCGCTGTCTATAGCCAGGTACCCATTCCCACCTGGGTGAAGTGAGGAAAATTCGTGTAAAGTGCCTTTCCCAAGGACACAACGTCGGGCCCCTGACGGGATTCAAACCCACGACCTTACGGCTGCGAGTCCGAGAGCCTAACCACTAGGCCACCGACGCCACTAAAAAACATTTAGACTTAAAATATTATAGCATCCTGTCAAAGCGTTGTTAAGAAATGGTTAGACGTATATTTTCTGATGGAACGAAATTTTTGACCAGGGATGACTTTCTTGGCCTTTTCCCCCCATTGCTCAAAAATAGTTTTGCCGACAGCTGAGTCCTTTCTCCAGGCACACACACACATTTGTGAGGCGTGCTAACACAATGAGTTGCTTCTCGCAATCCATGAATAGAGATGTCAGCCAAAAATCAACGCAAGGGTCATATTTCTAGACTCTAAACCAATGCCATTCTCTTCAAGTCTAACGTGTCTTTTATCATTTCATACAGATAAATTGTAAAACTTCAACCTATAAATTTTATGTTTCTACTTCCATCTGTCTAAATTCGGAGAAGTGACTCATTTTCTCAGCTCACTTCACATTTTATCTAAGGAAGTGTAAAATAAAAACCCACCTAAAAAACAAAGAACAAAAAAAAAAAAAAAAAAAAAAACAGAGGCAAAAAAACACACCAAGAACCCCAACCAAACAAAATCTTGACTGGCAATATCACATTGTCATCATAATAATTATATTGCTTTTTTTCCCCCCCGACAGGCAAAGGGGAAGAACTTGCGAGGCAGCCTACAGAACATCGGCATGCAAAAGCAAAAAAAAAAACAACCAAAACATAACAAAACAAAAACTTGACTTGAAATATCACCTGATCATCATAATAATTATATTGCTCC